GCTAGGGCTTTGCCCTGTAAGAATATGAAAGAAGAGTTTAGGAAAGTTGATGATTAGGAGGAAGAGGAAATAAAGATAGATAGGACAGTGTGAGATAAGGGTTCCATATTACCACGTCCTATATTAAATCGCAGATTTTCTTCACTGCTAAAAGCGACGTAATAAAGTCATACCATGGTTTCCGTTGAGCCTATGTCGACAACAATTTTATTTAAAGTTTATTCCTGAGATTTGTGGATGGTAAGAGTGTAAGCAATCGAAACCGGAAATTATCTTCTTGAACAATCTAGATACAGTAGGCAAAATTGAGAAATCGTCACCATTTAATATCGGTTCGGTGTAGTTGTCAAATTTAACCAAGACTGGTATTGGTAAAGTAGGTGATCTTCCCTCGTCGTATATTATATCTATGACTGTCCATAATGCTCCATTAACTAAATCTTTTTCTACCCAAATATTTTTTCTTTGCATAATCTTGCATCCTAATGCTATATGGCTGGCAACCTCTGGGTTTGTTCGTCAGAACCTCTCTTCGCTACGTTGTTGTTGTGTTCAACCATTGCGACAATTTTACCACAGTTCGTTAAATAGGATAAATTGTAATCATTTACTTTTCGTTCGTTGGAAAAAACCTAACAGCATCCTCAAACGAAGTCATTTCTTCCGGAGAGAGAATGCTAATCTCTTTGTCATCAATAGCAACTATCCATTCTCTTCAATTTTTCCAACAGAAATGTCATCTAAAATTTTGCAAAAATTTTACAAGAGATAATGGGATGAACTCTCGATATTAATATTTTTTTCTATTGGAGAAAGATTTTTAGTTTATCTGTTAATTCTCTGATTTTTATGACATTAGATCAGGAATGGCCAACAGTTTTTGCCCCCGGGGCGAATTGGAAAGAAAACTTTTTTCACGGGCCGAACCAGAGACTACCCTAGGAAGATTTTGAGGTGGTGCGAGTTCTCATTGTGGTGTCACCCCATAGAGACTAAATTGTACATAGACATTACAGATACATTTTTCATATTATCATGCTTTATCAACACACTACGCTGTACTTAAGAGATTTGTAATGAAGGGTTAACTCTAAACCCACAATGCGTTGTTCACCTTTTTTTCTGGCATCAGAATTTTTCATCGAGCTATTCGGACTTGAGTAGCCACATAAATTCATTAGACGGGCCGTATGTTGGCCATGCCTGCATTAGATGGAATACGGACTACAGAAAAGTATTCGACAAAGTTCCACACAGTTGGCTGCTACATATTCTACACATGTACAAAATACATCCATCACTCGTTGCCAGTGCCGTAACTAGCCATTTCTGTGCCCTGTGTAAGAATTTGCATTTAGGCCCCTTAATTAATTAGGTTTGGGAAAATAATAAAACAAATACACGCATTTTGGGCCCCTTCCAAGTGGGCCCTGTGCAGATGCACTTGTTGCACCTGCCTAGTTACGGCACTGCTCATTGCATTCTTCCAAAACACTATGCAGCACTGTAGAACAACATTACATCTCAGGGTACTGTACATAACACTTCCATACTAACAAAACAAATAATATTCATTAGGCAAGGAATTTTTCAAGGAGATGCCTTGAGTCCTCTCTGGTTCTGCCTAGCCCTGAACCCATTATCTAACATGTTAAACAACACGCAATATGGCTACAATATCGGACATGAAAAAACAGCACAGTTTACTCTGTCACATCTCGTGTACATAGACGACACAAAAACAACTTCATCAACTTTTACAAATCACACATTCATACACGAAGAACATACAAATGGAGTTTGGCTTAGACAAATGCAAAACACTTCACATAGAAAAAGGAATCCTGAAGAAAGAAGATTTTGCACTTGGAAATGGAGACATTATTGAATCCATGGAAGAGGGCGAGTTCTACAAGTATTTAGGATTCCAACAGACCAAACTAACAGAACATACACAAATAAAGCAAAAATTAATTAAAGAATACCAAAATAGGTTAAATGCTATCCTCAGAACACAGTTATAACTACAAAACACACAGTTAAATCAATAAACACATTTCATTCCAGTTAGAGCCGGCCCTACCATAGGGCGAACGGAGCAGCCGCTCCAGGCGCTAAGTCCTAGAGGGCGCCTCAGTGGTAAAGAAAATTGAAGGATATAAATTCAGGGCAACCAAGGGGGTGCCATAATAGGATCTCGCTCCATCCTAAAACTTGCCTCGGGCCGGCACTGATCCCAGTACTCACGTATTCTTTTGGAGTTATACACTGGACTCAAGGAAAACAAGAACAACACTTACTAAGTATAAACATCATTCTAAATCCGCCATAGAAAGTTTAACCCTTCCATGTAAAGATGGCGGACGTGGCCTGATTGACATAGTTAACCTTCGCTACAAACAAATACAGACACTGCGAAAGTTTTTCTACAAAGTCACACAAAAAATCACAGTTACATAAAGCAGTAACTCTACCAGATTCAAATAACACACCATTAAATTTACACTCACAACATATGAAAAGCATAGACACCATTAAGCAATCGTAGACTTGAAAGGCACTATGCACTCCATGGCAGGCATCCCTACGACCTTGCCCAGGATTTTGTTGACAAAACTGCATCAAACAGCTGGCTAGCTTGGGGATGCCGGGGAGACGGAATGATTCATGATTACCTTACAGGATCAGGTCATAAATACTAAAAACTACAACAACAACGAAAAAAAAACATACTGAAAAATACAACACTCACAAATGACACATGTAGAAAATGTCACATTATGCCAGAAACTATAAAACACATCACTTCCGGTTGCAAGCTCTTGCACAGACAGATTACTTACATAGACAAAATCAAGTAGCATTTAATTAAATTGCCTCAATGTCCTTTTTTCTTATTAATATGTAAATTTTCTTTTTTTCTTATTAATATGTAAATTTTATTTCGTATACCTGTATACAGGTATACGAAATAAAATAAAAATTGTTTTCTGTTAATCTTTGTAATATTATCTGTAAAACCAGTATAATAAGTCCTGATAATAGAAGATACGAATTTATAGTCGAAAATTTACATATTAATAAAAAATCAAGTAGCAAATATAATACACCAAGAGCTTGCAAAGAAACACAAATTGGTAGACATCCATGAACCATACTACAAATACATTTCACAGACAGTATTGGAAAACAACACGCACAAAATGTACTACGACAGAGCCATAATCAGTAGCGTACCGTAGTGGGGGCGGCAGGGGCGGCCCGCCCCGGGCGGCACTTTTTAGGGGGCGGCAAAATTTCACAACAAATAATAATAATATCTTGTAAAAATTTGAAACATTCTAATCTATACTTGCATCGCGCCTACGATAGTGCTATCGTCCGGACAGTCCGGGAATCGGCTCGCCGTCTGGATGAACTAGTAAGTTGCTCATCCCAGGAAATCCTGCGAAACCTGTTGATCTTTTTTTCTTTTTTTTTTTTGCTTGTACGATTCATTCGCGTTCATATACACCACCAATGTCCAATAGAACTATTTTGAACAGGTCGCTGCACTACCACCGAATTTTTCATTGCTTGTTCTATGACAAAATTGAATTTTGGTCTTTTAAATTGAAATACCTAAATAAGGGGGCCGAAAATTTCCTCCGCCCCGGGCGGCTGACACCCAGGGTACGTCACTGGCCATAATCACAGATAAAACAATTTATCACAACAGACCAGACATCACACTCATTGACAAACACAATAAATCACATACATTATAGACATAGCCATTCCACTCACTCACAATATACAAAACACAGTCACTGAAAAAATCAGCAAGTACACAGAACTCGCCCAGGAAATAAGGCATCTGTGGAGGATGGATAAAGTCTTTATTGTACCTGTCGTTTTCTCCTGTACAGGTGTGATACCACACACACTACACAAAAGCCTGGGAACATTACAATTGAATAGAAATACATACATCACACTACAGAAGGCCACTATATTGAATACATGCCATATTGTTAGGAAATTCCTTAATACTGACACTGACACACACATTTAATTTTAGTTTTGTTTTTGTTGCTATGCCTTGACTCTGGTCCGGCATAGTACACTGCCACCGGTGTCAACCGAGTATAACTCACTAATAATGATAATAATGATATTATTATTATTATCATCATCATCATCATTATTAATATCAAAAGGAAATAGAAATGATGAAACAAACACAAGAGAGCCAAACGCACAAATAAAAGAAAAATTTCCCAAAAATGTTTCACAAAATAAATAAATTTTGAAAAAGAACTAAAAAAGTTTCTCTATACAGTAGTAAGGAAAACAAGAAAGCGTGGAGGAAGTTGTATTTACCCTTCTGCACATCTTCGTGCGCAGGTAATTTAAAATAAATTTTGACCAAAACGAACGAAAATAGAACAGAAACTTGTCTGAACGGAAAAAAATTCTTCCGAACGAAGAGATTTTATGTTAAAAAAAACCGCTGTTCAGAACGGAAATCTGCCAAATGGGGAAAAAATATTCGGTGCCGGTGCGATTCCGGTTTCACAGGTTATACTGTATTTGAAATGCTCAAGTATCTGCGCATTTAAACAGCACTGTCGTAAATAAAAATTTTAGTGACTTTTTAAGGGTTTATTTGCGATAATTACATAAATATTCAATGGATTTTCCTCAAAATTTAATCATTGATTTTTCTCATCTTGTACTAATACGCCAAGTTTGATAAGAAAAATCTGGCGCAATTTCGTTGAGTTATCGTGTCAGGGGATCGATTATTTTGAAATTATAAGTCAGAGCTTTAAGCGAGGACTAAAAATATTGCAATCTAAAAAATTTCGCTATGCCAAATCTTTAAACAGCAGTGGTAAATCCAAAAAATAAATAAATAAAAAGAAATTACACGTTATTACATAGAAATACATTTTCTGAGAATGTTATACAACTATATCATTGTTACAATATCAACTAGTGCAATTTACATCGGTGCAGTTTATCAGCGAGAAAGTTAATCGTATATCATTTCGTAAAATAAATTTTTTTAAAAAGTAAAAACGCAAAATATTTGTTTAAATTTACATTATGCAGTTTGTGAATTTGCAAGATTGAACAGTTAATTCTCAGCAATCGTTAATAGGTAATTATAAATATAAACATTTTATTGCGAAATGTGGAATTCGTTTACGCAAGTAAAATGTTAGGCAATATATAATAACTGGAATACGCTTGTTAAATTTAACAATTAATGCTTAGTAATACTTTTATAGTTCTTAGATCTTAATTAATAGAGTATTATAGCATATTTAACAGAAGAATTGTCTCGCCAATAAGGAATTACTGTGTATAATTTAAGGTTGTTTAGAGGCTTAATAACTAAGAATTAAAAAATATATAATAATAATATTGAATTATATAATTAAAAAGTTATCAATTTATTAAAAGTCAATACATAAAATATTCAAGGAAAAGCACGTGTCACTGAAATGTAATAGTGAAAGTAATATAGGTAATAGGTTATAGGTTTACGCTAAGTTTAAGATCGTATTATGAGAGTAAAATTTCTAGATCGTACGTGACTCAGAAAAATTATTTTCAGAAAATATTATTTTTTCTCTTTATATATACCATACGAAATATTTAATCACTAAATAATTTTAACATTCTAATTATGCACTGGATAATTTATAATTGATAAAGATAAATGATGCTATTGATTTGAGTGATCAATAAATTTATAGAAAGCACGTATCAAAATTTTAAGAATTAAAATTATTTTAACTTCTAGTTCAATTATCAGAAGGCTCACCAGCGACCGAGTGGATAAAACCACCAAACACTAGTTGCAGGTTCTCACCTTACCAGCAGACTGGCTGGAGTTTTTCATGTTTTCTTCGCGTGTGTATAACACCTAAATAAGGGCCAGTTTCCCATAGAAAATCCTCCCAAGAGCCACTCCTCACTCCATATTTTTATTGCTTTATCCCATTACTCCTACTTCTAGGTCTACTGAGTGGTGAGGGACGGGTCCCAGATATTAGGACAGACTGCCCATTTTCGAAAGTTAACTCGTTCGGATTCTATTCCGAGTCCCCATCCCTCAAAGCGATAGGATAACGCTTTAACCGTCTCGCCATCCGGCCGTCAAGGATGATTCAAGTTGGAACTTTAACCTCCATTCTAATTCATGCGAATAAGAAATGGGGGAATTGAAGTCCAACTTGGTTTTGGGTCGTCACATTATTTCTCACTTCCTAATTTTGTGACCGACACTTTGCTGCTTCAAATACTCTGATAATGTGCAAAACAACAATATATCACTAACATAATGATGCCATGAGAGATAGCAAGAATGAAGATTTAAGCTTTAACAGATTTTAAATTAGCAAAGGGAATCTGCACTTAATGAAGAATAGCTGAGGTTTATTACTTAGGTATAATCATATAATCATCTTAATTTAGCGAAGAAAAATCTGTTTCAATACATTTAATTTTCATTTTTTAATGCTTTACTGGCACTATAAGCACCAACAGAAACATGCCAGTCTCTCATTTGGATGCCACGATGGTGAGATCATTGTATCCCAATAATAATAATAATAAAATTACAAATAATATTACTTATTTGACGAAATTTCCTGTTATTAATTAATTAAGAGTGGAATTTATAAAGATGAAAGTAGTCGTTTAGCTAGATGGGCAGGAATTTTGTTTTCCGCAAAATTCTCGTGAGATTGGACTGGGCGAAACTGAAATTAGCACTTATTGTACAAGCCTCGGCACAGGAACGAAAATGGAACTGAAATAAAATTCACAGAAACGCAAACGTTTGACTGCACTATTGTTCTTACAACATAACTTGGTACTTCTTTGAAAAGCAGTTTCATCTGTTTAATCAGTTTTAGGGGCTAGTGATAAATGGATGATTTATCTTCTCTATACATCTTTAGAAAAATGTCATTAAAGAACATCCATTTTAACATTAAAATTAAAATCTCGGAACAGTTGGTCGTGGGTTTGCGCCTCGCCAAAGGGTTTTATTCACGTTAGTAACTCTTAAATAGGGACCGCTTTCCCCATAAAGAGCTCCCAGGACTCATTCCCCTCGTTAGATCGCCCATGTGTCGCTTTATCGTATACGAATAAACCAAACCATGCTAAACCTCAGCGTAGATGGCCGGATGGCCAAATGGGGTTAAGGTGTCAGCTTACCGTTCTGGAGACCCCCGGGAATAAATCCGAATGGAACGAAAACACCAGAAACTTTTAGGAGGTGGTCCGTTCTGGATATATCAGGTCCTGTCCGTCACCACCCATTGTCGTCCTGCCCGAAGCCAGGAGCTCACCAGTGGCCGAGTGGATAAACCACCGAACGTTAGTAATTGGTCGTGGGTTTGCACTTGGTAAACGGACTGGCCGCGTGTATTTTTCAGAGTTTTCTTCATGTTAGGACCAGTTTTCCTTACCGGTCTTTCCTTTGGCAAATTTTCCAGGTGTTGCGTTACGGTATCCCATCAAACTAAATCAAACCGTTTTCCTCTATACGTCGGGCCTCGCCCATTATAGTCTGGAAAGAGTAAAAAAAAAAAAAAAAAAACAGAAAATAAAATGGTTTTTAAAATACATGAAAATCTTAAAAGCTATGGGAAATTATTTATTTTAAAAATGCAATAACTAATTAATCTAATAATAAATAATTTTGCCCGAAGAATAATTGTTTAGTTTATGAATTAATAACTGTCGCAATATCGATTTACTAGAAAATATTGCGATTGCAAATATGAAAGATAAAGATTTTTGGCCTAATAAATGAATATTGAGTAATATCTCTAGTTAATTGTCTATAAATTAATCAAAATATATATATGTATATTTTTTTCTTTCCCGAAACCTTATTGATTTACACGTTAAATTATAGAACCAAATTTGATTTTTATCACTTAGACCTTAATGAAAGGATTTTCGACATAATTTTTATTATTTTAAAATTTCCATAAGGTCAGGATGCAAAACTATTTCTCTTATCAAGATATTCGATATCGTCGGACTTCTTAAGTGATTATTACGTAACCATCGAGTCTTATCGGTTGAGAATGACGTCAATAATTAGCTACTGTTTCTGCCATCGAAGTAGAACATAATTAAATTTCAAACGATTATATGAAAATTAATACATACGGAAATTATATATATATATATAGTCTTATAATTTCATTTTTTTTTAACAGACGATAGTAGAATTTCTGTTTAGTGCATCGCTCCCCAGAGGTCTCTGATTAAATCGAAAAATTTGTGATGGAGTCCGCAATCGGATGTTTGAATTGCCTTTTCTCCGTTTTCTTATTTACTGTTTTAATTTGTGTACAAAATATCTACATCAATGCACATGGTAAGTTATAAAATCTTTTTTAATCACATACGCATAAATGTTAAATTTATGACTTAATTTATTTATTAAAATGTTTAATAGAAGCGATGAACTTGTTTACTTTCAATTCCAACGCAATTGTAAATTCACCTTTCGTAATAATCAACATCTGTTTGTCATAATTGGAATTTCAATTTAAAGCATAAATAAATATCTGTATTTATATAATAATATATTAANACTGAAGTAATCTGCTGTAATTCTTAAACATCTTCTCATTGTCAGTTCAATATGCAATATTTTCCATTTTCAGACAGAAAACTGAAAAACATCTTTAAAAAAAATTAACAAAATACTCTAGTGGATCATGGTAACTGTCACATACAAATTAAGGTAGTATTGAGAAAAACAGAAAAATATGCAGTTTTACCCTAAAAAAAAAAAAAAAAAAAAAAAGCATTTTAAATCAAACTTCAGTAACTTTTCACTTTGCATTTTTATCCATTCGGTTCTCTTTGGTCTAAAAGACATAATAAGAAACTTTCCCCAAACTTCTAATGCAATTTTATGTCGGAGAGAAGAATTAAAAACTGTTCTCTGTACTTCCGAGTGTTCTTCCGACACTGGTGTGTGGCATTGCTTATTATAGATGCCCGATGGATGATGTCTTGATCGTTTGCTTGATTCCACCTAACCACTCTCCTATGAGGATTACGAATTATAATTCTTGTAGGGATTATAATTTATAATCCTTTGGCTAATGAATTATAACCCTATGATTTGACTCAACAGATATACCAGATACATGCAAATGACATTAATTTTTAAGACACTACTCTTTTATTACATACTGTTATACTAAAAGAGGAATTATTTAAAAATGCCTGATGTTGTGTTTTCAATATAATTATATAATTCTTATGTCGACATTAGTAATAAAGTAATATAAACATTATCTAAATTGCATAAAGGTATTAATGACTTCATTCTATATATAAATAGGTTATGTATTAGGAAAGCAAGTATTAATTTTTTAAGTATTAATTTTAAAAAGCTACACAATAACTTTATTTTCTGGTTTTTTTTCTTTTTTTCCTATAATTAAAATATATTTAAACATCATTTAAAGTGTCTAATGATTTGAATCATGTTCTCAACAAATATTTTGATTGAAATTGTTTTTGTAAAACTTTATACAAAATTGTATTTTAACTTTCAGTTTTAACATATTTTAGATTAAATTACTTTAGTGTGTATTTCAATATCTGTCTAAAGTTTACTGTGAAATTACATTTTTAATATAAACTGAAATTTGGTGTTCTGTATAATTAAGAAAATTTCAAGATAAAATTAATTTTTACTTTTTAACTTATGTAATTAATTACACTTAAAATTAATATTAATAGTATCAACAATTAATTTTAAACATTGTTACAAATCAAAATGTGGCCTACATTTTTAATAATTCTTTACAACATTTTGATTTTATTTGTGTTAACCAGGTCAGACTCATAAAGCAGCTTTTTACATAGTAGGAAGAGGAAGTGTATTTAACAGAAAAAAAAATTTTCTGTGAAGAAAAATAAAATTATACTTTTTTCTCATTTTTGTTGTTTCAAATTATCAAAAATTATCAAAAATATAATGAATACTGTTAATTTAATGTGAATAGTGAAATACTGTTAATTTCTTTAATTATCTCAAAAAAGACAATTTAAAACAATAGCAATATTTCATTTTATTATGAAAGAATTTTTTTAACTTATAAGCTATAAAAATTATAAGTTTGAAAATAAATTGTTTGCTCTGAACTTTAATAATGAATTTATTGCATGCAATACTGGTAGTTTCGCAGGTTTCCGGAATTGGATGATAAAAATCAATATTAATTTTACTTTCCTGTTCTTATCGGTAAAAGGAAAACATCATTAGGCAATGAGAAGAGTGTTGTTTTATTATAGTTATTTAATTTGTAAATTTTATATTTTTTATGTCATGAATAGACAAAATTTAGAAGGAATAATATAGAAATATATTATATTATTAATTGTTACATTTTAATTAAAAATATTACATTTATACACTATTTATATTGAATGTTGATATTGCTTGTAAAGAAATCAGTCAATTTTTATTTTATTACTGATATGTTATATAGTTAAACTTAAAAAACAGAAATGACATAACTACACTTTGATACTTAATAACTAACCCACTAATTAAGCTTCATATCAAAACTTGGCTCTTCATCTTTTTTATTTGGATTTACCTCTCTATGAACCTGTGAAATTTGACTTTTTTTTGTTAGTGAATAGTCATGGATTGAATAAATAGTGAGTTTATATAATATGAAAGTTGAATTATTTATCTATTTTTATAATTTAATATACCTATATATATTCAATAAATTTTGATTTAATATAATTTTACTTTAGGAAAAATGTTTACTATTAAATTAAAAAATAGCAAAAAATATTTATAGTTGATACCTTTTTTATTTGTAAAATTTTTCTATTTGTATAGATCTAATAAAGACAATTGAGAATAATGGAACAGTTTTTGACTTTCCTGACTTTGATGCAACTGAACCTCCGAATTTAGAAAATCGTGTAAGTATTTTTAAAGTGTTAAAACTTGGGGGGTTTACTGACTATTCAAAAATTTAAAAAATTAAAAACAAAAGATTTAAAATATAAAATATGGTGAAACCTATGTAAACTGCAATTGTACAGAACTGAATTATTTTTTCCATCTTGGCAGGTTTCCCTTTTGAACTGGGTTGTCTTTCTTTTTTCTTTAAACTAAATCAGATAAATGTCATATAGTTACATTCAATTTTTATAATAAAATCATTTTAACATACATAAAAAAACTTTTATTAATATGCTTAATTCAAAGTGATTTTAACTAAAGGTGAGAATATTTGAATGTAAGAATTGAGACCTTTTGATTGCAAGAAGTTCTAATTGTTCCCTAGAACTTGTGCTAGGTACAGTGGTACCTCAGGATATGAAATTAATCCGTTTCAAAACTGAGATTGTATCATGAAAATGTCGTAAGGTGAATCATTTTTTCTCATACGATTACATGTAAAACCAAATAATTCATTCCAACACAAAAAACAAATTCAAATTAAAGCTAAGTAGTACATTAAAAAAAAAATAAATAAATAAATAACTATAGTAAGGAAATCACTGAAAAATGTGTTTTGTAGTTGTAAATGTATAAATAACCATAATAGAATAATAATTGATTAAAAAAAAAATGTAGTTTTATTTTCACTATACCTGAGGATAGACGACGGTGGAGGTGTAAACTGGTGGTGGAAGAGAGGGAGAAGGAAAATGATACTAACTCTTAACTTACATAACATAATGTAACAATAACTTAAAAATAACTTAACACTAAATTTTTTATATTTTTCTGTTTTATACTTTTTTTTTAAATTTTATTCACTGCTTTTTGCTTTCTTTCCTTCACTTCCACCAGCACTTTCACTTGATAGAGGTCGCCTGCTAAAATATCTATCCAATGACGTTTGGCTTTGGAATAAAATATCTATCCAAAGACATTTGGCCTACTTTTTAAAATGTTTTTAAAATAACTTAGGCAAATGTCATTACTCCGAGCTGCAATACGGCCTGTGTGAACCTTTTCGGGATGTTTCTTTTCAATAAAATCAGTCACTTTCTGATAATAGCTCAAGATTTCCTTTATAGAACAAGATCCTTCCACGACGAAGCAACAATGCAGACTGAGACCAATGAACAGAAGTGAATAAAAAATGGCGCTGCAAACTAATGTAACGTCGTATGGTGAGTTTTTGTTCGTATCGTGGAGTAAAAATATGTTTGAATTTCATGAAAATTTCGTATGATGGGGCGTTTGTATCCTGGGGTACCACTGTATTTTATGTGATCCTTATGAATTCATACAACAATGAACAAGCTACAATTTGAGTACCAAAACTAGTGTCTCATTCTGCTGTCAGAAATCCTAATCACATTACAGTAATACAGAGACCAAGTTATTCTGTGATCTGACTTCTCATGGAATTTTATTATTCTAATTGATCATTAATTCCAATCTCTAATTAACAATGTGCTAATCAACTTGTTTTCAAATACTTGGTACTAGTTAGTTAGTAGCTATTCTGTACAAGACAGAACTGTGTTACTGTTTATTCTCATCATTTTCACAAATGTAATTTGTGAAAATGATGAGAATGAACAGTAATACAGTACATTTGTTGCTTGTACTAAAGAACTCAGTTCTCGGAAACTCATTCAATTCTTGAAAGTTCTTAATTCTTAAAAGTATTCAATTCTGCTTTTGGTTAATTTCAACAGGGATATACAGACCAAAATCTTTGATAATATTAATTAACAAAGACTTTGATCTATATATCCCCTTGTCAGGTGACTTTTGTTTTTCTGACAAAGTTTGAAATTGTTCTTGGAATATAATTTGTCATGCTCTGTGATGACCTGAGGTGATTTTACTTATTAGTCTAGAAGTGAAATCTTAATTTTCTACCTTATCCAGGTTATGTTCTTAGTATCCAAAAACCTGTTTCCTCATTGAACAGGTTTCCAACTTATAGTAAAATTTAACATAAAATTGCTCCATTCTGAAGAATTTTTCCATTTAGGCAGGTTTCTGTTTTATTAAGGTTTTGTTTTAGACAGATTTTGCTGTATAAAGTTTCATATAATGTTTAAGTTTAAAAATAACGGTTTAGTAATCTTTAAGCATGTACAGTAATCTAAGAGATGACATTTGTATTGTATGAATGAGGTTATTGTTTATTAGTTATTAATAAATGTGCCAACTTATTTAAATCATGTAAATTAGTAATAAGCATTAAGCAATCTTTTGTAATTATTTTTATGTACTCTCATTGAATTCAGTCTGACAGAAATAATCTATACTATGCCTACATTGAGGTGAACGTATCAGTTAGAATCATGAATCTATGAAGATTAAAAATAGAGTATGTCTGCAGAAATTTGATATAAATAATGCAATTAAACAAAACTGAAATAGTATATAATTTCAGTTCTATTTTATTAATGTATTTTCCATATTGAAAATATGCTAGTGTTTGACATATTTTATATAAATATTTATAGTAATTACAGATTTTATAACAACAAAAACAATGCTTTTTAAATGTTCAAAACATCAACTTTTTGGAATCAGCATGTTTAATTTAAAGTACAATGTCTCTTACACACATTAAGTGTAATTTTTCTTTCTCTGTTGATTACTATGATATAATTTTTCAGAATATTTTTTATTCAATCACTATTTGGCATGATTTAAAAGCAATCCTTTGTTATTGTCCTATTTCCAATAATCTGATATTCATTAATACTAAAAATATATAATAACAATGCAAGAAAAGATAATTTTCTACACAAGAATTGTTATAATGAAATTTGTCTATAATTGCTAATAGCTTTTTTTGCAACAAGTCTTGCTTAATCTTGTTTTTATGACTCTAGAAATGATAAAATTAAATTTTATTTTATTATTTCTATTTCTGCAGATACAAAATATTGCATTATATTATGTCTTTCCAAAATATTTTTACACTATTTTGCAAATGCACAATAATAATTCGTGAGTTCAACAAATAAAACATATAAGTTGTAATAAAGTTATTTATAAAAATTATAGATTATGTTGCATGATTAAAATTTTTAATAGAAATAAATATCTAAATTCAAAATAAATAATGTAATTAATATAATAAAAATTAGCTTTTAGTACATATTTCATAAATACAGTAGAGCATTGATTATCCGAATATCTATTAACCGAAACGTCAATTAACTGAAAGCTTTCCAGTCAGCAAATTTAAATTTCCACTAGTGCTGTGGCGCTGCAATATTTGGCTATGTCTTGGGCTACTCCAATATTATTTTTGTTGGTGTGTGTGTTTTAGCTGGCAGCACTGGCACGATCATGAGAGGGTACTTAAGGACATGCCAGGATTTGAACAAATTTCAACATGTGATAGGTTAATATATTTTTCATACATAATCGGTTATTCAAAAAATCGATTTTCTGAACTACCCCAGTCCCCAATTGATTGGGATAATCGATGCTCTACTGTATTTAAAAAATTTTTGTTTTTTTAATTAAATTATGAATAATACTTCAAAACCAATAATAATTAAATATTAAAAATCTTTTCATGGAATCTGTTAATTGATCTAAAATGTTAACAGTATGATCTGTTTACATGATCTTAGTCTGTATTTTATAATATGAAAACCAGTAATACATTAGTTAATATTTTATCTTAGGATAATGTTAAAAAAATCCAGCAACGAGAGTTGTGTAACTTTCCCGGCTGTTACGAGATTTAATTTAAAAAACTTTTATATTATTAAGCAAAATAAAATTATATGTGGTGCCATCTATTATGAGATTGTGTTATAAAAATTTTATATATTAATTATTTTTAATTATTATAAAATAGCAAAGGACTTTATTTTGAGGATAGAGATGAGTTTTATAAGGATCTGTAAATGCTAACAATATGTAAAATCTTCATTAAGCTCAACCTCATGTGAAATATGGCATGTGATATCCCACCCTTCATCTTTTCTCTTCCTCAACCTTTCATCACCAAATTTTAACCATGCCAAATTTTGTTTTTTAATCTTCATCCTGTCACGAGATATTAAACAAAATAATTGCCAACACACACACACACACACACACGTTCATGGAATTTTATTGACTTTTGGTTCAGGGAGTCTCAAAACATGGAGATTTGCAAAAAAAACTTGATGGTCAGATTTGACACAATTCTAATACAGTAAGACCCAACTTAACGTGGGAGATGTGTTCCTAGACAACAAAGCACTAAGCGAAACAGCGTTAAACGAGGTCATTTTAATATAGAGTAAATAAGGATAGAGGAACACCTGACCAAAATAAACAAATTTTACTTTAATTTTAAGTTAATTTTATATTAATACAGTAGAGCGTCGATTTTCCGAAAGTCAATCATCCGAAAGAATTCCAGTCGGCAAATTTAAATTTTCGCCAGTACTGTGGCGCTTCAATCTTTGGCTATGTCTTGGGCTACTCAAATATTTTACGTTTTTGATACTAAATTAACATCAGAAGTATAATTTTTTTATTATTTTTTTATTTTTCAATATATTTATTTTGTTTGTACAAAATAAAAAAATAATTTTTAACGATACAATAGTCTTTGTTAGGCTTAACATCGACGAAAATTCAACGCGAAGCGACACGCAACGGATAAAAATTTCGACATCGGATACGTTAAACTATTTTTTCGTACGTAAATCAGTTATCCGAAATATCAGTTATCCGGACAACCCCAGTCCCCAATTGATTCGGAAAATCGACGCTCTACTGTATGTATAATAATATATGTTAAATAACACATAGACATATGCACACAGAAATGTAAAGTTCATTTTTTGTAATGAAGGTCCCGACTTTTCTGAAATTCTTGTTTTTTTGCAATAAAGTCGTAAAGTTTCAATTGTTGCTTTTTTCTTTCCTTAAGCCAGGGGTCGCCAAACTTTTTTTAACCGTTGACCCTCAACCACTTTCCAAA